AACTTATTAATTAATTAAAATAATTTAAAATAGTTGCAAAAAACATCTATATATATATTTGACTTTTTCTAGATAAAAAATAAAAAAATAATATTCGAAAAACAAAAATGATCACACCAAAAGAAGTTCATTTTGTTGTATTTGTTCATGGGTAAAGTCTTGAATATGAATATGAATGATGATGCTTTGTTATTACTAATGTGATATATACGTATTTTGATTAATTAAAATATTTAAAATAGATTATGGGGAAATACTGGACATTTAAAATATTTTGTTGAAGAATTTAAAAAGAGACATGGTGAAAATGTTCACATTGTAATTATCTATTATTATTATTGCTCTTCTTTATTAAATTATCATTATCATGACTAATTTGATTTTCTTCTAGTTGAATTCTAAATGTAATGAATCAGATTATACCTATGATGGTATAGATGTTTGTGGTGATCGATTGGTTGAAGAGGTTTATTATTTTCTATTTTATGATTAATATTATTCATATGATTATGGTTGATATTAATAAGATTAGTACTACTATTACAATTAATAGATTAAAAAGGAAGAAAAGATTATTCAAGAAAATAATAATTTTAAAATTACAAAATTTTCAATAATTGGTTATTCACTTGGTGGTTTGATAGCAAGATATGCCATTGGTATACTATATTTTCAAGGATTTTTTAACAATATTGAACCATTGGTGTTTATTTATTTATTTATTTATTTATTTATTTATTATAATTAATTTTGAATAATTTGTATACAATATATTAATTAGAATATTCAAACATTTTAATATATAAACGATAGCATTTTGCTACATTTGCTACTCCACATCTAGGTATAAGACGTGAAGATGATGGAATTTGGACCAAAGTCTTTAATTGGTCATCATCGATACTTTTATCAAAAACAGGCAGGTGATTTTTTTCTTTAACAAATCAAATAATAATTATTTATTTATTGACAAATTTATCATTAATATATATATATAGGTGAACAATTACAATTTGTTGATAATTATGATAACAATGAACCATTATTATTAATAATGTCAAATCCAGGTATTGATAATTATTTTGTTTTATTTTTTTTTTTATAAAGCAATATCTGCTCATATATTTTATTAGAATAAAGTGAAAATTTTTGAAATAATGAACAGACATCCAAATAGATTATTTACTTTATGCATTTATTACAATATTAATTGATTAATTTATCTTTGTTTTTCTTGTAGATAAAATATATTACAAAGCTCTTTCACTATTTAAGTATAAAAGAGTATATGCAAACACCACAAATGATAGAACTGTGCCTTATTGGACTGCTTCAATTTCAATAATTAATCCATACAGTGATTTTAAGCAGTTGAAAATGTAATGATAACAAAAATATTATTTCTTAATATATTAACAAATCAATCAATCAATTAATGCTTCATATTAATTTTTATTATATTATTTTTATATAGAATAGAAAATGAAAATTTTCAATCCTTAATAGGATCATTATCAAAAAAACCACAAAAAAATTCAGCAATTAAAAAATTAATTGGATTTATAAAAAGATTCTTCCTATTTACAGTGGTTGTGCCAATTTTATTTCCATTTTGGTTTGTTATAGTTTTTAGTACTGTAACGATACAAGGAATCAAATCAAGAAGAAGAGTAAAGAGAATTTTGAAAAGAAAAAAAATCATTGATAGCAGTGACAGTAATAATGGCAATTACAGTGGTGATGTTAATATTAATATATGTAATGATAATAATAGTTATGAAAATAACGAAGATGAACATTCAACATTTAATCATCACACAAAACTTGCAATAAATACCTCTAATATGGAGGAAGAAGCTATAGAAACTGCAATGAATATTAAAAATCTCCTACCACAAAGTCAACCACCTTCTCCAACATTATTAGTATCAGATATCGAAAGCAACAACAGTAATAGCACCAATAGTGATGATAATAACGAATTTAATTCAATGATAAATTCCTCAACACCCTTACAGTCAACTCAAGTTACACTATCTAAAGCTCAATCAGACAGTTGTAGGTATTTAAATAAGTTAGAATGGGAAAAATATTCCGTCTATCTTGATGTAATGAATGCTCATGCTGCAATCATTGTTAGAAATAAATTGCAGGGTGCTGCTGGTAAAGAAGTTTTAAAACATTTTATAGAAGTATTTGATACATAACATTGTTATTATTATGAGTGTGAAAAAAAACCATTGATTTTATTTATAATTAATAATGCATTTTTCATAATACACTAACAAATAAAAAAATTTATAATTGAAAAAAATAATAAAAAAAGAATGCGATTTTAAAAAGAATATATTTTCTTTTTTATTATTATTATATAATTTTTAACCAAACAAATCCAAACCCATATCATCATCTGATTCATTTTCAGATTCCTCTTTAGCAGCTTCTCTTTTAGTTTCAGTAGTTTCAGTTGTTGTGGCAGTTGTTATTACTGTTGTTGCTTTCGATATCTGATACTAATAATGTTGGAGAAGGTGGTTGACTTTGTATACAATATATTAATTAGAATATTCAAACATT